GGGCCAGCCCTGCCGCTCCCAGCCCCGAGCAGGCGCGGGCTCCTCGCCCGCCATGGCTGCGCTCAGCGTCTGCCCCGTGCAGCGGCTGCAACGCCTGGCCCGAGCCTTGCAAACCGCTTCCCGATCCACACAGATCCCAGCGCCAGGGAATTGTCACGGGAAGAGGGGCAAGGAGCCGGGGGAAGCAGGAGCGCCCCGGCCGCCCTGCCCAGGCTGCGCGTGCCGGAGCTCCGTCCCGCAGCCAGGCACGGTGCCCCGCCAGGGCAATACCCCGGGCAGCGCCCGGGCAGCGCCACGCCTGGCTGTCTGGCTGTCGCAGGGACAAGAGGTTCGGGCTGGCCCCTCGGCCAAGGCCTGATGGCTCCTCCCAGGGCGTGAGCGCCTCTTCTCGCAGCCCCGAGCAGCCCAGCCGGGCACCGAGACGGGGCAAGAGAGGCTGGGCAAGACAGGAGGGGGTCCCAGCGCGGTGCCCCTTCCCCGGGCGCTGCTGAGTGGGCGGCCGCTGCCTTCCAAGCGGGAGCAGCGGGGGAAGGACGAAGGCGACGGGCTGCCTGGCCCTCTCGCGCGGCAGGCGGGGCAGAGCCCGGGGCCAGCAGCGCGGGGGCCGCCTGGCGGAGCCGCGGCAGGGCCGGGGCCGCACGGAGGGGGAGCCACCGCCGCCCGGGCGCACACGGTCAAAATAAGAGTCTGGGTGGGCGGGCCGCCCCGGGCGCCCTCAGTGCAGCCCCCGGTGCGGCCCCCGCGCGGCCGCAGAGGCCGGAGCACTGGCTGAGGGAAGCGGGGCTGCCTGTCCCGGCACAGGGCCGAGGAGGTGCCGGTGGCTCCGTCACAGTCGGGCAGCCAGCGCCACATGTGGGGCCCCCACACAGCTCGGCCCTGGGGTGGGCGATCACGGAGACATCAATGGAGAAAGAGCCTGGGATCACCCAGGCAAAATGGTTTCCTGGCTCCTTGTCTGGATTTGTGACGGAAGGAGCTGAGGCAGATGGCAGAGCCTCCCCTCCCGTCCCCCCAGACCTGAGTGACACAGCGAGCGGAGGGGAAGCGGCAGCATCTCACAGCAGGGCGGCCCGAGGGCCGCAGCGCTGCCAGCGTCACACTCGGCCTTCTCACTACCCGCTGATTTGGGGGACATCCATCCCGTAGGGGACGGTCAGCACGGAGCTGGGCTCGGGGCACTGCGCCATGCGGCCGACCCCGCAGGGCCTCGCACCTACCTTTGCGAAGGGGCTGAGCACAAGGCGGCTCTGTGGAAACGCGGCCTCCTCGGGGATGAGGCCGCGGGGCGGCGGTGGTGGCCTGCGCGCCCAGCCGGGGCCCTGCCAGCCCATGGGCCCCTCAGCGCCGCCGCTCGGGCGCCAGCTTCCCAGGGGCGTGCGCTCGGGCTCCATCGTTCCCGGATGGAGTGGCAGCAGTGCCAGTCACCGGGAGGGCCCTGCTGCAGAGCCGGCGGAGCGGAGGCTCCTGCAGGAAGCTGGGAGCATCCCCGGGCGCGTGCAGAGCCCTGGCAACCTGTGTGCGCCCGCCGCAGCTCAGCGCCCACCTAGAGACCCGCAGCTCCACCTGCTGCGGAAACGCGCTCAGCTCCCCGCGCTCATCGGCGGGAGCGGGGCCAGCACGAGCCCTGCTCTGCGGGAGCCCTGCCCTGCACCAGCCCTGCTCTGCGCGAGCCCTGCCCTGCACCCCACTGCCCCGTCTGCATCACGCCACGCCTGGGAGCCCCGAGGGCGCTGCTCCGAGGCGTCGCTGCCGCTGGGGCGCCGGGCGCAGAGCGAAGCCCCAGCCTGCCCATGGCAGCCGCAGGATGCGGCAAGGCTCACACCGCCCTCTCCCGCCGCGGCCGGGCGAGCGCACAGGCCTCCATGCACATCCTGGCATTCCCGCTCGGCAGGAAGAGGGAAGCCCGAGCTTCCTGCGCTTCCTCCAGGTGGGCGCGGGGCCCACGTCCTCCCTGCAGCCCAACCTGCTCATTGGGAGAAGGGGGCAATTGAGAGCAGCTGCTTCTGCCCCTTTGCGTGTGAGAGCAGGAGGGCCCCTTAGCCCTTGCCCTGCACTAGGCTGGAGCTTGGGCTCCAGAAGCCGATGCCTCCTCTCAGGGGCAGGAACCGCTTCCCGTCCGCTGCGCCCGGCTTCCCAACGTCGCCAGCACGATTCCCTCCAGCAGGAGCACACACCACCTTACAAAAGCAGCTCCTTATTTGCATTTTCACCTCTTTACATCTGATGCTTTAAAACCCAGGACAAAAAACAAAGAACCCTCCCCAGGATCTGTGGCAAACATGTAAAACTGCTCGTTTACGTTTTCAAACCTTGAGATAAAATGCACAGAAATACACGATTGTACAGAGCCATCAGTTGTATAAAACCCTGGGTTCTGCAAAGAGAACCCCAAGAGTGAAGAATTGCAACCAGGAGCGCTGGTACAAGAAAGGGCGCGGGTTTGGAGGGCCGCTTCCCTGCCAGTCTCTCTTGGGGAGGACAAATAGGACAGATGTTCCCAATGCAGGTGCTTGCAACTATCTTAAAACACAGAATAAAACCCAAACAGGCCCCAGATCACCCTGATCATCTTCTACTTCGTGCTGCCTCACTAGGAAAGCCTCCTTGTCTAGCAGGAAACCCCTGCCTGTACATGAGCGCTCCTCAGGAGCCTGAGACCTGGCGGCTGCCGCGGGCCGGGCAGGGGCCGGGCTGGTCCCTCCGCTCCAGCGCAGGGTATCGACCCTCACCGGCCGTCCTGGCGCTCCCCAGGGAATCGCAGCCTCCGTGGGCAGCTGCTCCTCCCCACAGAGGTGGCAGCGGGAGCAGACTGGGGAGCAGCGGGGCAGATCCAGGGAAGCCAGAGCAGCGTTCAGCGGGAAGCTAAAGCACCGAAACAGGGAGGCTGCACCCGTGGCGAGCAGGACGAGAACAAAGCCACGAAAGACAGAAAGCAGCAGCGGGGAAGAATAAAAAGAAGATATTAAGGTATTTTTGGTATTTTCCATTTTTCCATTGAATGCTGATTTTGGAAATGATTCTCTCACTTCCTGGCCCAAATTCAGACAACTCCCCCAAAACAATTGTTTGAAAATTTGAGCTGAGAATTTAGAAGAACTGTTGTGTACTGAAGTTTCCTACCCAAAGCTGGGTGCAGAGAACAGCCTTTCTTCTATCATGGACTTCAGAAAGAAAAAATGAGGATGTGCAGCGGGTCGAGAAGGGCTCCCCGTAACTTAAGGAGGTTGAAATCAGAGAGGCTGCAAAGACGAGAGAGCAGCAAGGTGGAGAGCGGAGGGCTGATCCCCTCGCAGGCACCAACCCGCGAGCAAGGAGATCAGAAGAAGAAATAAAATAACAGAAGCTGGGAAGGGGAACTAGCTGAGAGAGGGTGACGAAGGACCGTCGTGTCCCAGACCCAGACCAGCCTCAGCCGAGGTGGCAGCGGTGGCGGGTGCAGTGCGCCCTTGCACACCGTGGGCATGGGCTCCCCCAGCTCACTGTGTCCAAAGCCCTCACCCACCTTTCATCCTCTCCCAAGCGGCTCGTCGGCAGCGCAGCTCCCAGCGCGGTGGCTCCAGCCTCTCCAGCCAGAGAGCATGGCTCCAGCCCATGGAGCCATGGGGAGCAGGGCCTGCTCCCCTTCCTTCCCACCGGCCACCCTTGCCTTTGTGGCTTGAACAGAGCCTGCAGAGGGCACTGGGGAAGAGGCCACGCGGAGAGGCCGTGGCCAGCGGCACCCGGGCCCTGCCCGCGGGCTCCCCAGGGCAGGCTGGGCAGAAGTCGCCACCTTTCCCGGGACAGCAAAAAAACTTCCGTAATTTTGTAAGAAACCAGGAAGCTGCATTCCCGGATTTGGCATGAACAGGCATGTGGGTAAGCAGCAGAAATGGAGGAAAGAGCACGACATTTCTCTTAGAATAATTTATTAAATACAGCATTAAAATTTGTATTTATGAATTCAAATCATTAAAAACAAAACTTCATCTCTTATATATATATATTAATGGACAATGACAATCATTCTATCAACATTGGTGCGTGTTGTGCTAGCTCTGCTCGGAACAGCACCTCCTCTACGCTATCCTTAAAGCAGTTCAACATGTTTTGTCTTAAAAACAAAGCGCATTTGCAAAGGAGGAGTGCGGAGCAGGGCCGGTCGGGGCCGCGGCGCTGCCGAGTGCCGCCCGCGCCCCTTCCAGGAGGTGCCGAAGCTCCACAGGCTGCAGCTCTGTCCTCATCCCAGCGCCTGCAGCTTCAACTACCTGGGTTGGGGTTCCCTCAGGTTGGGCAGTTGATACTAAAAAAGCTAAACAAGAGCTTGAGAGAAAAATGTTGTTTTAAAGACATCGGCTTCATCCCCTGACCTGCCAGGCCCAGCAGAGGCTGCAAATGAGGCAGAGCACTCGGGCTTCCCTCGCTCTTTTCCCACCCTGCTGGGGCTCGAGCGGCCGCTCCCGAGACGGGCAGGAGACCAGAACCAGCCGTGGCGGGAGGAGCGGCTGGGCCGGCACCCGTGGGTCCGTCCCGGCCGGGCTGGCGGGACCGTCGCCTCCGGGCCAGGGCTCCCCCAGACTGGGCCCTTGGGCAGACTCGGAGGCAGCATCAGAGTGCCGGGGCAGCTTGATTGTCACAGGTTCCTGGCCTGCCTAAGGCGGCGCGCGGGGACATGGGACACGGGCCACCTGGTCGTCCAGGCCCCTGCTGAACCGATGCTGTTCGTCCTACGGGTCCAGCAGCCGGCGACGTGGAGGCCAACGGGCCGCAGCCTCCAGCCTCCCGCCTCCCAGGGCCGGTGGCACCCGCGCTAACAACACGGGGCTCTCCCTCCACGGCACAGGAGGGCCCCGCGGGGCGCCACGAAGCCCCCTGCCCCGGCTGCAGGTCCCGCCGCTGCTGCAGCACCACCGCACACGACTATCTACAGGGTTGGGCTTTCAGCTTGTTCAAGCCCCGCTCCAAACCTGCTTACTCCCAGACACCTCCCATCGCAGCATCCCTTGTCACCTACGAGGACCAGGCGGAGGGGCCATCAGAAACATCTCTGGTGAGTGCGCGGCCCACGAAGAGAAGAGAAAGCCCGCAGAGCCCAGCCTCCGCCTGCCACCCAGACACGCAAGTCAGGAGCACTTCAGTAAGGCATCGCAGGTGCTTTGCTAGTAAAGCAGTTAGTGTTGACTACAGTACTTGAAGCGCGGGCCGCCGCACGGGGCAGCCCGGGGCAGAGCTGCGTGGGCAGCGCTCTGCGCAGCGCGAGGAGGAGGCGCTTCCCACACCTCTGCTACGCGCACACGCAGGCCGCTCCGCCGGCCCTTTTTGGTTGTGGGTTTTTTTTTATTATTTTTATTTTTCCCCCCCTCCCAAGAAAGAGACTTAAAAGCCCAAGTTGGGCTGCACCATTTCCCCTGCCGAGCAGCCACAGAGATAGAAAAGACGCCTTGTGCTGTAGCAGAGTGCGCAGCCGGCCGGCGCCGGCGCGGGCAGCGCACCCGGGCGCGAGGCAGGGCTGCTAGGTGCCGTTGCTGATGCTGGAGTTGGCACTGCTGCAGCTCTGTTCATAGGATGGAGGCGCCTCTGCAGGGAAAATAAAGAATAAGAGCAGTTAGAGCGGGTGCTGCAAGGTTCCTTTCACCCTAGAGCACCGCGGTACTGCGGCCACCCGGGGCAAACACTGCTCCAAGAATCCAGCGGGCTGGGATATCCCCAAGCTTTTTGTCTTGGCCACTCTCTGAGCTTCTACCCCCACAACTTGTATGTTCAGACCAAATCCAGGCCCGCTCCAAGTCAGACATAAGATCTCGGTTACATCATTTTCCTGGCTCTGCTCCCGCCAGCCTCACCACGAGCCAAGAAGTTCTTGTATCAGTGGGAGGCTGAAAGCCCACTGCGGAACAGCGAGGTCCTCGCAGGAGCAGGCCGGGGCAGCGCAGGTTTCAGCAGGGGAAGGGGCAGCTGGCACTGCCAGCTGTAGGAGGGGAGCTCCTGCAGCTGAGGCGACAGAGCCAGCTCACCACCCTCCCCTGGCCAGCTACCTGCCCTGTATTTGAGCTCAGTTTGCAGCCAGCACTTCCCTCGAAGGAGGTATTGCCCGTCACACCACCAGCCTGCTTAGGGGTGTCAGGAGAGGGCTGCTCACCGTATGGGTAGCCCCACGTGCTGTACTCCGGAGGCAAGATGAGCGAGCTGGCCGTGGAAACAGGCACCACGTTCCCCTCAGCATAATAGGGGACGGTGGCTCCTGTTGACAGGCAGAGCGTGGGATGATTTGGGGAGCCTGTCTGCTCCGAGTCCAGCCTTGCTTCGTGGAAGCTCAGTCCTGGAGCATAGCTAAACGGCTGCTGCTGGGAATGGCTTTTGGTGGGGATCAAAACATTGTCCATGGGGTGGTACCCGGCGGCAGCCTCGTCCTCCTCTGGCGGGGCGCTGGGCACCACGGCAGACGGGATGTGCGGGGCCGACCGCGAGGGGCTGAGCGGCACCCTGTTCACAGCAATGTTACCAATGTAGATGGGGAGAGTGACTGAGACCTCTGGCGACTTCAGGGAAACCTGGAAGAGAATGAGAAATAATCAGGGAATCCTTAAGGTTGGAAGGAACCTCCGGAGATCATCTAGTCCAACCCCCTGCACAGGCAGGGTCACCCAGAGCACAGGGCACAGGGTTGTGTCCAAGCAATTTTGGAAGATCCCCAGAGAAGGAGACTCCACAGCCTCCCTGGGCAGCCTGTGCCAGGGCTCTGTCATCCTCACAAATAACAACATTCTCTTAATCAGATGCTGCACTGGACACAGCCAGGTTCACCTGACTACAAGAGCCACTCGTGGCAGAAAGCTACCAAAATCCAGGCTGGAGCTCAACACAGAAACCCAAACTCAGTCTCAGCCATCAGCACCAACCTGGGGACATAGGTCCCAGTAAGTTCCTCATCAAAAGATCATCTCCCCTCGTACGCTGCACGACACAGTCTCCCAGGGCAGACCCCACCAGTGGGCCCGTTCCCTCGAGTACGTCAGGGTACTCACTTGGATGTAGTAGTCAATATGTATGAGACTACAGCCCTGCAGAATGGACTGGGGCAGCGCCGGAACGAGGATCTGCTCCCTCCATTCGGCGTGTTTCCAGGCTTTCACCCCCGAGCCTTCCACCTCTGCAATGGTCCTCAAGTCGTAAATCCAGCGCTTGGATTTATAAGCCACTTTCTGCACAGATAAGAGAGAGAGAACAGCAAGCAGAAGGTTGGCAGACATCTAGGATCTCCCACATACTGAGACAGCACAGAAAACCTGCAGAGAGCTTTGTCACGTTACCACAGGCACAGACCTACCACGCACACCACCGCGCAGGGTAACCTACAATTATGTGACACGCTGGGATGGCGCGAGCCAGTGCCAGGGAGGCCCAGGCCAAGGTGGGGACTCCCCGCTGCCGCCTCCCAGGCGCACGCGGCGGTGGCTATGGTTTGGGGTGGGTTCCAGAGGGGTGCCAGCCCTGCAACAAAGTGCCCCTTCAGCCTCCTACCTGCAGCAGACTGGCCACCACAGCCCCCGTGTCGCGGCCAGATTTGTTCTCTATGTCCGTGCGAAGATGAATCACTTGCCCCACGACGTAGCCTTTGAGATCCGAGGTGGCAGTCACGACAATGTTGCCACTTTTCACAAGCTTGTAGTTGAATTTCTTTGTGATTGACATAGTGTTGGGCTGCTGCAGGACAACACAAGGACACAGATGTTGGCTCAAGGGAGCCCTCAGGAGAACAGCCAGAGATCCAAAAGGAGCGAGCAGGCACGTCAGATTCTTTGGCTCCACAAGAACAGCAGCAGCATGCCCACGGGTGCCGGGCCTTGCTACTCCCAGCCTCAGCTTTGCTGTCCTACTAGCACGTCCCCCAGACCCAGGTCAGCAGAAGCACTTGGTGCTGCTGCCACACACCTCTCTGCATGCTGGAAACTCGCATAGATCTTTCCAAGTGATGCGTGGAAGAGTCAAGATGGCACAGCAGGACACATGAGGAGCGGGAGTCCTCGTCCTGCCAGTGCACACACAGGGCACGGGGTCCAAAGTTGCCTGATGACACATTTATCCCACAGACAGCCCCAGGATGAGAACAAGTGCCTCGAGCCCAAGCGCTTCCCAACGAGCTCATTCCTGCTCTTACCTCGATATCAGGGATGTCATTCAAGTTAAGTGGGCAGAGAACGTAGAAGATCTTGCTGCACTTGTAGTCCTTGGAGAAGCGAGGTGTGTCTATCACAGCTTTCACCTGATGGAGGACCTTGCCAAAAGGACCTTCAAAGGACGTTGGAGCTGAGGCTGGAGTTCAGACAGAGAAGAAAAAGGCATCATAAGGTTGAGTCATGCCAAACATTTGCAAACTGAGAATAGCCCCCTGAAAAATCTTTCCTTTTCACCTAAGGGTTGGGCAAGTACCTTAGAGACAGAGCACACTGCAGTCACCCCCCAAAAAGAGCTAGAGCAGGATACCTGGCTTGCTTGGAGGCCTCACTGGAAGCCCCCCCACCACGGGTGGGAGGACAGAGATCCTCTCTGTGCCTGCACCGTGGGTCAGAAGGCTGGGCTGGGAGCTACTTGCACAGACCCATCGTGCTGCCGGGGCCAAGGGTACCTTTGCTACCAGGGTGCCTTATGCTCCCTCTCGTGTCCCCAGGGCCGGCCAGCCTCTGCAGAGGCACCCACATCCCTGCCCAGCTCCACAGAGGGAAAAGCCAGGGCTTGCATGGAAGAGCCCTGGGCATCTGCTCTGCGTCCTACCTGGCAGCAGGAACTGGAAGGGAAAGGTGTGCTCTCCGGCTGCCAGGACCCCTGCGGAAAACAAGAGCAACGAGTGAGAGGGCTGGTGGCACCAGTGCATGTGGAACACGGGTTTACAGAGCCGGGGCAGCTGCTGGCGCGACAGCACACGGCGAATCCACTGCCCTCACCCACGGGACACCCCACGCTCAGCCTCCAGATCCGACCAGCAGCGCTCCAGTCAGAGCAGCATCTGCCGGCACCCACCTTCCCTTGGGACAGGAGACATCCCCATTCTCCAGCAGGTGTTTCCTCATTAGGATACTCTCAGAGTAAGGTGGGGGTTAGTGGATTTTAAGGCATTCCAGTGCCACGGCCTGCTCTAGGACAAGCAGCTGGCCCTGCGTTACTGAGGAGGGCCTGTGAAAGGGAGCCTGTGCGTTTGCTTTTCCTCCAGCGGGCTGCAGCCAGAGGGAAAGGTGCAAGAGTGCAGCACCATCAGGGGCTGGTGAGAAGGTCTGGTGGGCTGGTACAGGCTCAATCTGTACCTCTGTAGCTCTGCAGAGCTTCATTTGTCCCATGCAGACTGCCCAGGGTTCAGAAAATGGAACCCGGGAGCCCCCTTGCAACCAGGGAGCAAACTTGGAATCCTGGTCTGGAGAAGGGACCTGCAGGACCTCAGCCTGGCTGCCCAGACACCAGGAGCTGATGAGAAGATTCCTACAAAGCCCCTGACACCTGTCCTGGGCAGAGCCGCGTCTCCAGCACTTACACTGATGATCCCAGGCCCATCGTCCACCTTCCAAACCCCTGCAGCAGGAGACCCCTGCTCTGCTCAGAGCCAAGAGGGAGCAGCTGGGCCGGATCAGCGGGGAGAGGGGCCGTGCCCAGGAGGCCGAGCCTGGCAGGGCTGCAGCGCTGCCCCTTGCTGCATCCCGGCCCCTTGCTGCATTCCGGCCCCTTGCTGCATCCCGGCCCCTTGCTGCATCCCGGCGCCGGCCGCCGCAGCCCAAGCCTCCACGCGGGTTCTGCTTCACTCCGTCTCGCTCTACAAGGAAGCGGAGCAGAGGCAGGGCCCCACGACCACGAACGCACAGCCCCAAAGCCCGCAACCAGAGCCCATCCGAGCCCCTTTCCCCACCCCAGTTCCCTCCCAAGCGCAGCGGCGGCTGCTGCCACAGCCCCAGCACGAGCCGGGAACACCAGTCGGCTGCTGAAGTTGTCTTCACTGAAGAGCCTCAGGATGCACAGGGCTGTGCACATTTGCTCAGTACGTGCAAACACAAGGGGCTCGGCTTCCCATCTGGGCGGCCTGGAGAGCAGGGGGGACCTCCCAGGCGGAGCCGCGGCGGCGCCGGACACGCTCCCTCCTCCGAGCAGGACGGAGCCGGCAGCAACGGAGCCCGTGCGTCAGGGCCTGGGCAGGTTGCCGGGCGGCGGGGGGCGGGAAGAGCGTAAATCTGCTCCCTGCCCGGCTTACAGCGGCATTCCCGCTAGAACCGGCTGCGGCGGCGTTGGATTCAGTCCATGCTACCCTTGGGAGCTGCTGCCCCCGCCGGCCGTGCCCAGGTCCCCGCGGGCCCGACTGCGTGTTTAGGTGGGCAGCAGGCCCCGCAGGGCGAGGACGGGGTGCCGGGCTCACCCGGCTGCGCGGGCCAAGATGCAGCACCCGCGGCTGTCGCAAGGTGGGGACATGCAGCAAGGCAGAGCCGAGGCCAAGCGCAGCGGGGACCCACGCGGGGCAGTTTGGGGGACAGCTGCTCCCACCGGGACACCGAGACCTTTGGGATGCCCGGCCTGAGCAGCGGAGCGGGCAGCACCGAGGCCCAGCCTCTGCTGAGAGGCCCTCCCTGCCTCCTGAGGAAGAACCCTCGGCGCCCACTGGGTTCAAGCACCTCTTCTATAGCACAGGCAGCAACTTCTAACAAATGACTTCAATAAAGACCTGTGAAACGTTGGCTTTACATGGAGCCTGGCACACATGTCCATGCTGATTAACCAGCTCCCGTTAGGCAAGAGCCAAGCGCAGCGATTGAATGTGGGAATTCTGTGTGCGGCGGCTGCTGCAGGCGCCAGCTCTGTGGGCTGGAGCGCGGGCGGGATATGGTGCCAGGACATGATGCAGTGCCCGGACAGGATGCGGTGCCCGGATGGGACGCGATGCCTGGGCTGGAGCACCGGCGGGACGCGGTGCCCAGGGGGACGCAGTGCCCGCGGGTGCAGGTGAGCGGGGGCTCCAGCAGCCCCTGTGCAGCTCCACCTTGCCCCGTTACCCATCCCGCAGGAAGCGCGCGCTGCCCGCACTGGCACCGTGCAGGCGACGCGGCGAGGAGGAGCCCTCGGGGACAGCCCAGAGCGAAGCAGCAGGGCGGGCAGCCGGCGCCAGAGCTATTTCCAAGCCCCGCGTTAATAAAAATAGACGAGCAAAAGCAGAGGATCCTGACCAAGAGGGAAAGCGCTTGTGAAAGCATGGGCCTGCGCCAGAGCACTTGGCAGGGCGATAGGCCTGCGGATCCTGCAGGGAAACCCGGATCCTGCCATGTCCTCTGCCAGCGAGGCGCGGAGGGACAGGGATGTTGGGCAGGAAACCCGGGCTCAGCCGTTTTCCTCCGCTCCCGCCCGCCTCCCGGGCAGCAATTCTTTCGGCCTCCATGAGGCCGACAGGGCAGAGCCTCCGTATCCACCTCGCTGGGGACCACGGAGCCACCCTGGGCTCCGCCACGTGCCCGATGCCTTCGGCCACTGCAAAGGCAGGGCCCAGAGGAGAGGCCCCTTCCACGGCAAAAGCAACAACTAAGGACCCCATTAAGAGGCAGCAGCTGCTTTTCAACAGCCCCGGTGGGGACCCCGCTCCCCAGGCTGCGTTTCCATTGCCAAGCACCGCCCGGCTTCCTCCTGAGGGGACAAACCTGCAGTCTGCCCGTGCGCTGCAGCCGCCCGAGCCCGGGGCACGGCCCGGCGCCCTGGGGCAGCGGGGGCCGCTCAGCGAGGCCCTTGCAGGCCGGGACTCGTGTCACTCATGTCACACCTTGAGCGTCCCGTGCCCTGCAGCCCCTTGGAGGCACCGCACCGAGCCCCTTGCCTCGCCGCGGGGTCCCCCAATGCCACACGCGGTGGGGACACGGCCAGGCCGGTGCTCGCGCAGGGACACGACACGCACGGGAGGCCGTTTGCTCCCATCCCCTGTCCCCGGGGGCTGCGGGTTTTAACAGGCTCATCCCACGGCCAGACTGACTCCATAAGCACAACGTGGTCCCTGCGCCTGGTGACACGGGGCGGCCGGAGCGAGGGGCGCGGGGGCCCAGGCGCGGGCCGGCCTGGCCCGTGCAGCTGTTATCCCTGGCCCAGCCGTTACCTCACCCTGCCCGGCAGCCGGAACACGCACAGGCAGCTCGCACAAAAGCTCTTCCTGGAGTTCACAGGCAGCTAAAAATACCTCGAGCGAGGCTGCGCCGGGGCTGGGCTAGCAGGGACCGGCGGCGGCCACAGACCCACGGCCGCTTTCCCTCCACGTGGGAGCTGGGCCAGCACGAGTGGCCCTGGGAAACGTCCTCCCTGCAAACTCCTGGGTTTGTCCGCCCGAGGCAGGAAGCTGCAAGAACGCTCGGCCTGGGAAGAGCAGAGAGCACCTAACGGTGTGCAGGGCCGGGGCTCGCTGCAAGCCGCGCCACCGCCGTGCTCGGGGACACCAGCATCACGACGCGCATGGGGCAGCAGCCACCGCTGCGGGGGTGACAGCATCACCCCGATGCTCCGCTCCACCAGCTGCTCCCAGGGCTACAGCCCTTCTCTCTGCAGCCCCGCTTCCAGCGTTGGCAACGCTCTGCCCGGGCAGGAGGCGCCTTACGGCCCTACAGCTTCCCCATCGGACGACGCAGCCAGGTCAGCAGGAGAGGTGCCAGGAAAGGGGAGCCACCCACGCGCATCCGCCCACACCAACACGGGGCGGAACGATGTGCAGCCAAAGGCCGGGAACGTCTGTCCCTCCTTTTTCACTTGCTCCGGAGCCACAGCCAGGAGCTGGGCAGACTTCACTCCATCCCAAGCTGCTGCTCCGACCACCAGCTTTCCCTGCTGGTCCCCATGGAGTGGAAGGGGGTCAATCTACTCCCTCCGGCTGCGCATGCGGATGTGCTGCTGCTTTGGAGCAGGAACAAGCTGGGCCTTTGGAGGGCATGTTGTTGCGGCCCTGTCGTTGAGGAGACAGCAGGCCCGGCCATATGGCCGCTCCTCTCGGGCTGCTTGGCGCGTGATGCATTAACTGTGCCGGCCAACTCCTCCAGCAGGGACAGGGACAGGGCCCCGGCACCCGCCGGCCACTCGGAGCAGGTAACTTCCCGCTGCCCGGAGGGGACGAGCGCGCGGAGGCTCCCGGGCTGGGCTGACGGCAGCGCCGCGCGGCTGCCCCCGTCCCGGCGGGTGGCAGGACACCCTGATCTGTGGTTTGTACCTTGCTCCCAGGACGCTGCCTCCAAGGCGCCGCGTGGAAGCGCCGCTTCTGCCCATGACGGGGCAGCCCGGGCCACGCGTGAGAACGAGGGCTCCGCCTCAGGCTCCAGCAGAGCAAGCTGGTACGTGGGATGACAGGCTGCAGGGAACGAGGGTAAGAGCAAGGATTTCCTCGTAGCATCCCCGGAACAAACATGGGCACCTGCGCGGCGACCTGAGGGCAATCCCGGCCAAACCGGCCCGACCGGAGCGCTCAGCTCCGCTCGCACCTGCCCGAGCGGGAGCCGCGGGAGAGCAGCGGTGTGGGGGTGAAGGTGGCAGGGGTAGTGCGAGCAGGGTGCCCGGCAGCGCGGGGAACGCGGAGCGGGACGAGCCCTGGTGCTCGCACGCGGCCAAGGCCGCCGGGACGGCCCCGGGGCGATGCGGTGGCAGCAAACGCACCGTGCAGCCCAGCGGGCCGTGGAAGGGCCCCGCTGCAGGCAGGCCCCTGCACCTGCAGTTTCCAGCGGCGTTCTCCGTGAGTTAGTAGGATCTGACAGAATGGCAAGGCTGCAAAAACCACCGAGGATTAACTGTGATCTATTGAGGCAAGAAACTGCAAACTGCTGAGAAAGCTGCTGCGCAACCGCAGGTGCTTCCGTGTGCTTTGCAGGGGCCAGAGGAGGAGCTTTGCTCCTGAGCCAGCAGCCCAGTGTGGACACGGGACAGCGCCCGTGAGCCACCATGGCCTGAAACAGCACCCACGCGCCCACCAGGAGCGCGGCCTGTCGCCTGCCCAGTCGTGGGCAGCAGGCAGGACGGGACATCCAAGGCTTTCAATGCCCGTTGGGTCACGTCACTCCATGTGTTCAGTGAGGCTGCGGCAGCTCGTGACGCCGCCCCGCTGCGGGTGCCAGCTCCGCTGCGGGCGCCGCGCAGCTCCGTTGGGCGGCAGTGCCCGGCTCGCCGCCCTCAGCCACCCCGCCGGGTGGCCGCCGGCACGGGAAGCGCCGCAGCAGCCAAACACTCCCCTGGCTGCCCTGGGGTTCATACCACGCTGCCAAAAGCGAGGTCAGCTGGAAGTTACAACCCGCTCCCAGCGTGGGTTCAGCTCGGGGACAAATGGGATTAAGGGAAAATGGAAAGAAAAGAGAGATGTAGCTCTGCACACAGAGAGAGCACCGGGTGAGGGCAGCGCGGCCGGTTCCATGCAGGGGATGTCCAACGAGCAGAACCCTGCACGGGTATGGGTGGGTCGAGGACCTGCTCCCCTCCGGGGCCGCAGCAGGGACAGGGGGCAGCGGGAGCCTCTGTGGACCTGAATGGCACCTTTACTGCAGCCCAAGAGAAGCCTCTGCGCTGGTGGCACAAGGGGAGCTGTGTTGTCCTCCCTGACACTGGTGCCCTTGATCCCCTGCGCCAGCAACAGTTGGATAAAATTTAACCCAGCAGTGCTTTCATCTCCCTGCCACCTGTTTGTGCTCTCACCTTTGCAAAAAATGAACCAGGGGAAGAAAAAGAAAAAGAAAGGGAAGAACAGCGTGCTGGGGAGGGTTTCTTGCAGGTACGTGAGGACCGGTACCCACGCTGCGGCAACGTTTGCTCAGAGGGCTGCAACCTCCGCACGGCGCCCGAGGGTTGAGCGTGGCCAGGGCCGCCGGGCGCTGCTCCTTGCGGGGCTCCCGCTCGGCACCGCTCCGGCTCCCGCTCCAGCAGGGATGTCCCGCCATGATCCCCCCCGGCAGCACGTCCTGCGCCAAACCACCCACGCTGTCCCCATGCACGCAAGCACGGCCCGCTCAGCGCCCAGAGCTGCCTCGGCCGCCCTGTCGCGCTGGGTGCCACGGCTGCAGGGACGGGGCCCACAAGCCCGGGGCCCCCAAAACGCGGCCCACAAGCGCAGGGCCCCCAGCGCAGCTCGCGCGAGGGCCAGCTGCTGCCCTGCACCCCACTGCGCACTGGCCGCGCATGTCCCATTCCGGGGAGCCGCTTGGCAGCTCAGAGCTATTCCTGGAGAGCCCGTAAAAGGCAGAGTCGCGTCGGCGCCGAGGCCCAGCCCTCTGCACCCGCCGCAGGCGCAACGTCCCCCAGGAACGCCGGGCGTCGCGTCGTGCAGGGCGCGCTGCCAGGCGCCAGCAACGGTGCCGAGCACCTGGATGAGCACTGGGCCCGCAGGCTTTTATTGCAACCGCTGCGCAGACCAGCAGAGCCGTCACAAGGGCTTCCGAGCGGCCCCTCCAGGAGGACCCTGACCCAGAGACACCACATGCAGGGACACCCTGTCCTTGCGGAGGCCCAACAGTCCTGCCCAACAAGGACATGACTCAAACATGGCAAGTCCAGGCCAAAACCTTGTGATTTGGTTCCGGTTGAACAAGTGGCAGTGACTTGGCGAGCCCGGCCAGCCCGCGCCCCCTCCCGCTGCGGCGTCCTCACGGGGCGGGCACCGGGGCCAGCCCAGCAGCACCACGTCCTCGTGGGGTTTGCAGCGGGGTCGGCCCCGCAGCTACTGCAGCCACCGCGACCGTCCCACACCACGCACAGAGGCCACACAGCAAGGACAAGCGCAACAGGAGGGACCTGGGCAGCAGAGTCCGGAGCCCACGCGGCACCCCAAGGGCTGGGAAAGCAGCCTGGGGCGCCAAGTCCCGGCTCTCCAAAGCCCCCAGCCCAAGAGCACACGCACGGCTCGGCCCCCCAGAGCTGCAACCCTGTTCCCCGCAGCTTCACTCGAGGCGCAGGAGACCACCGGGCGCTGGCCGCGCACCTGACACGTCGCTCTGCGTTTCTGCTAGCAGGGACTAAACTGGTGGCCACAGCTGCACTGCGGCTTTGCAAGACAGGACAGCAGGGGTGCTGAGGATGCCCAAGCCTTCAAGCCCAGCAAAGATCTACAGTGCTGCAGGACAGACCTTTTCGTCGCCGCCCTCACCTCTCCGACGCACCACACACCACCGGCTGCTGCTCCTGCTCGCCCGGAGCCGCGCTAGACCTGGCAGCCCCTGCAGCTGGCCTGGTCTGCCTCCGTGGCGCTCCAGGCGCCGCCAGCCCCATGAGCTGCCCCAGGGCCCCAGCGTGGCCAGCACCAGTGCCCCGGCCCCAAACACTCATCTCAGGCTCTGGCGGCGCTCACGGTGCTGATAGCTGACAAACATCCACGCTGAACTGAACAGGACACGCAAAATCTGGGTGATAGAAAATTAAGATAAAAAGCAGCAGGGCTTCTACCAGAACTGAACCAACCCCCATATCAGGGTTTTTCCCACAAAGGATCAAACAGTAGGAAGGGCTGTCTCATTTCTTCAGTGCACTTGCAGGTTCACAGCTCTCCAAAACACTGCAATCCAAGTTCACAGCCTGCAGCTCTCAGCTCATTTGAGCTCAGCTGCCCAGAGCACCTTATAAAGGCACCAGGATTTTGCTAGTGGCCCCGTTCCCGGGCGGGCTGCTCAGCTGCACCCAGCTCCGTTTCCAGAGGCAGGCAGGAAGGTGCCTCTGCGCCCTCCCTCTGCAAGCGCTCCGCAAGTGCTCCAAGGAGGGTCAGCCTCCCGCGGTGCCAAACGTCGTGTTTTAAACACTGCTGAGCAAGCAGGAGCTGCCACTTCAGTTTTATCCATTTCCTTTCACCAGGCAGAGCAGGCGCAGGGGGCACCGTGGACACCCACCAGGCTGCTCCTTTGCCACACCGGGTGCACAGTCCCCAGCGCAGCCTTCAGCAGGTGGGCAGTGGCACCTCTCAGTTTCAGCAGGCGCCAGAGCACAGCATCAACTATTTGTGGTGGCACTGACCTATTTAGGAGCAGAAAGGCAGCATTCATTCGTGTCCAGATTCCCTGGAGGCTGCTGGTGTCACCTTACCCTCCGGCATAACACACCCGGGGCCCATCTCCAGGCATCTCGGCTTGCAGGGCGCGCCCCGGTCGTTATTTCAGGCCTCTCACAGCGTTTCTCCTGGACAGCGAGCAGCACCTCCTGGTCCCCAGCAGCGGCACCCACCGCTCCTCCTCGCGCAGCGCATTGCGGCGCCCGGACACAGCACGCAGGGGAAGCGGAGCCCAGGGAGGCCGCAGGGCCCGGCGCCCGCGAGCAGGGAAGCCGCTGCCACCCGCCCCGCTTCGTGAGGAGCCAGAGGACACGAGCGGCGGCTGCAAGTCCCGTCAGGCTAGCACAGCCCCCTCTAAGCTCCTGCTGTCTCCAAGACCGACTCACCCGCTCTGTGCACGGCCAAGGCAGCCGGCAAAGGGCTGCTTCACATGTCACAGGGCGCTGGCGTCCGCGGCCGGCGCAGCATCACCCACCCCGGCATAGCCGCGGTCCCTGCGGCCTCCGCGCGGGCCTCACCTTTGTCTGCCAGGGACAGCGTGCTGTTGAAGTACTGCTCCTCCACGGTCCACGCGGTGTCATTGATCTTGCTGGACACCCCGCAGGAGCCCACGCAGCTCACCTTGATGGCTGGGGAGGGAAAGCGCACACATAAGCACGAGGACAAGGCAAAAGCTCCCGCTGCGCCTTGCCTCGAGTCCTGCACGCGGGCCCTGTGCACGGCAGCAGTTACACTCCCACGGGAGACTGAGAAACACACGCGAGGTGGAAAAAGGAAGGAGAGGAACCAGGTCACGCTCTCAGTTCCGAGGCACATTTTCCCCTCTGTTGCTCTCGGCGCTCTTGCACTCTCTGCTCCCCTCATGATCTTCCCAGCTGTCACCACCACTAAAATCTTTGCATCAGCCGTGGAAGATCTCAACAGCAGCAACTTCAGTTTCCTGAGCTGCAAAGCTTTCCCTACTTCTCCCAGACGAATCCAGACCCTCCCAGCTTCTATACCAGCGCCTGCACCAAGGCGGAGAGCAGAGGACACGGGCGGCAGCGACACCTTCCTCTCCATTCAGGTGTCCCTGGCCCGAGAGCGGGGAGCTCTCAGAGGGCTCTGCAGCCTCCGATCCCACAAGGAGCAGGGCATCCTGCCACCCCCGGGAGGAGATGGGCTCGGGCAAAGGTGCCACGCTGCACCTGCACAACCATGGCACCTAAAACCAGGCAGCGTCTTTGGGGAGAACATGGGCTTCAGCTCTGCTGCATGGCTGCTGCTGTGAGAGCTGGGACAGAGGCACCGGGGCCACAAGGACGGTCAGGGGCCTGGAGCATCTGCCCGTGAGCAAAGGCTGAGGGAGCTGGGCCTGTTCAGCCTGGAGAAGAGAAGGCTGAGGGGGGACCTGATCAGTGTCTATAAACACCTCAAGAGAGGCAGTGAGGAGGATGGAGGGGCCTCTCTTCAGTGGTGGCCACTGATAGGACTAGAGGAAACAGCCACAAACTGAAGCACCAGAAGTTCCGCAGGAACTTAAGGGAAATGTCTTGGCAGTGACAGTGCCAGAGCCCTGGCACAGGCTGCCCAGGGAGGTTGTGGAGTCTCCTTCTCTGGAGATCTTCCCAACCTGCTTGGATGCAGCCTGTGTCCTGTGCTCTGGGGGACCCTGCATGTGCAGGGGATTGAACTAGATGATCTCCAGAGGTCCCTTCAACCTTCAGGGTTTTGTGATTCCATGATCTGCCTCCTCATGGGAGGATGCTGAGGAGAGGAGCAGCTGCCGGGTCCTGCTGCCCTCCCTCCCTTGCCGTGCCGGCCGGTGCCAGCCGAGGTGTGCGGCCCTGCCCGCGGAGCTGTGGGGAGCCGGGCTCTGTGCACAGTGTCCCCAGCTCTGGCTGCCGTGTGAGGCCACCGCGCGTCCCCACGCTCCAGGGCGGCTCAGCCCTCGGCAGCTCCCCGGCTGCCCCGCTCGCCGGTGCCGTGCTGCCCTCCCACGCACACCAGGTGTGATGGATATGCTCCTTTCCCAGCTCAACCTGACCTGTACCTTACATGCAGCCCTGTTCAGCTGCTAACCACCAGCGACTTATCTAATCCTGGTAGGCGCCACCAGGGCACCCAAAGGCAGGAAGTCCCCAAGAGCTCCTGTGCTCCGAGCAGAATTTCACAGCAGAGAGGCAATTTCACAGCAACAGAAATAAATCCTTTCCCTTCTCTCTGCTTCCTGAAGCTGCTCGGGGACCACTGCCAGGACTACCAAATCCCTGGCACCCAGGACGAGACCCAGAGCTGTTTCTGTGGAGGATTCACCACGAAGGACCCCTCCGAAACAGGAGCTTCCACCCTGCTGACGGCGAGACCCACATCAGGTGTGAGCCGAGGTGGCGGCCGTGCAGGGCTGGAGCGGCTGACAACAGCACAGGCGGACACGTGCACCCTGGCTGCGCCACGCAGCCTCCGAGTGCAGCGGGGCTGCGTGTCCACGGCCCCCGGAGCCCTCCCTGCTCGTCCCAACAGGCTGCGGCATCAGCTCCACCTTGATCCGCAGCCTGGAGGGCTGGCGCTTCCCCAGTCCATTCAAGGGGTTTCAGGGGTGCCTGGTTTAACAGGTGAAGCCACCTATTTTACCCCTACCTTTGGGGTTATTTTTGGCACTGCTCCCTGTAAAGCAGGAGCTCCCCATGGGCATCCTGCGGGCGAGACGCGAGGGACTCGCCTGGCTGGGGCGTGGGGCGGCCACACGCGCGGAGGGGACGCAGGGCGGCTGCGGGGCCAGGCCGGGCGGTGCGGGGGCAGCCGCACGCCGAGCACGGAGGCTTTGGCTACGGGCGCTCACGAGCGCGGCGCCTCCGGAGCTGCAGAGCCCACGGGCTTCAAGCGCCGCCAGGGAGCCGAGCCACAGCCCCGGCCTCTCCAAGCGCCCCTCCAGGCGATCTCTGTGCACAGTTGGATACAGAGCAAACAGGAAAGGCTTCTACATCAGAACAGGCCATTTCCCCGATTGCAGTTATTATAAACGCGCCCCGCTTCCAGAAAAAAAAAAGTCTCTGGGATTCGGGGTTCTAGTGCCACCAGTGGCCGGCTCTCCACTCACCTAGATTGCTCTGAGCAAAGGAAGAAAAGTCAAAGCTGGAGGGAGGAGGGAAAACGAACAAGCAGAGACGTGAATCAAGACCCCCCCAGAGGGGCAACGTCCCTCGGTCCTTGGGCTCGGGCAGCAGCAGCCCTGCGCACAGGGAGACGTGGACGGCGCAGCCACCCCTGCACTACAGTGAGAGCAGACGGCAAGAGCTGGCCACGGCCCGTTGCTTCCCGGGTGATTTACAGAGACCTCGGATTCCCTTGCTCTGTTGATCCAGGGAGCTGGGAGAAGCGAGCGAAGGACCCATGGCCGCTGCTTGTTGTACACACGCATTCGCACAAGGGCAAGAGCCTCCTGCTCCCCAAACCTAGCCACTCGCTGAGCAGGAGGTGTCACCTACCAGCACAGGAGATGCCCGTCACGTCACAGCAACAGTGGCAGCCCTGGGCACGAGCGACTTGTCTGGGTGCAAGTGGCATCCCTGCTGCAGCACTGGCAGCAAGTGCCATCCCTGCTAAGCACCCACAGCAACACGAACGGGCAGACGGCCGAGGAGGACAAACGGTGGCTGCTCCGCGTGCAGCTGCGGCGCCCGCGCGGCACTGGCCTCACACAGCACTCCAGCAGGTTCCCAGGCATCAGCCGCCCTGCCGCAGGGACCGGCTCTCCAGCCCTGCAGCCACGGGCCGGGATGCACTACAAAGACACCCCGTTTCATCCATGCTGACGTACAGCACAAGCGACGGGGCCGCATGTGATTGCAAGAGCCTCAAAGGACATGCCAGAGATTGGAAGGTCCCCGAAAGAAAAAGGTATTTCTTCCAAGAGCCGTTCCTAGGCCTTGCAGCGGGCAGCCACCCACCTCCTCAGGAGGCCGCGACAGCATCAGAGCTGAGGTGAGAACACACAAGGCTCTGCGCGGGGGGCAGCTCCCTGCGGGACACGGCGACGGTCCCGAGCTGCAGAGCAGCGTACAGGGCCGTCTCCTGCCGCACTCCACAGGATCCACACAACCAGGGAGCAGCGGGGGCACTATGTGCGGTGAGAGCCCAGCAGAGCCGGCGCCAGGTGAGTCTTCACTTCGTGGAGAGCGGGTGAGCGCAGCCGGAGCCGCCCGTGCTCCCCGTCTCCGTCAGGGTAGCGGGTGCCGTGTCTTCACTAGACCCTCTCGAGCTGCAGAGCCCGAGACCCTCCTACATGGTGCTAATCCGCCACCTCAGCAAGCTGGGGCGGGCAGAACCAGCCCCAGGCAAGGGCCCAAGGGCCCACGCACAACGGGTGACAAAGAGCCCCGAGCACCGGTCATCCTGCAGGCCCTGAGGACAGGGATGTGGCCAAGGACGAGAGGAAGAGTCACATTCAGCCCTCAGCAAGTGCGCACCCGGCTTCCCTGTGCTCGCGGGTGGGATGTTGCTTCAGGAGGGATCTCCTCCCTCAGCTGCTGAAGAGCAAGGTCTGCGCTGAGGAGATAACGGGGTTTCAAGGGCCGTTCCCCCAGAGCACCTCAGCAAGCAGCACCATGGCTTCCCCTCACAGAAGAACCCCGTGGTTTTGCCCCAGCATCTTCAGGGCCCCCTATCCTGCAGCCTGGAGCCAAGATGAAGGGGTTGGGGTTGGTCGGGGCTGCCAGCCAAGCGGCACCTAGAAGCCTGCGAGGCAGCAAGTGCTGCGGAGAGCACGAGCTCCTTCAGCCAGCAAGTGCAGAGGGATTCTTCCTAGAGGAGCTCCGTGAAAAGCAGACACCAGGGAGGCTGGGAGCACAAAAGGGGCAGGCTGAGGCCTTTGTACCAACCTGCTTCTACACAGACTGGCGCCGGGACCACCACAGGCACAACAGGCTCTGCCCTCCTCTGAAGGCAGGAGGGAAGGCCGGGCCGCAGGACACGCTGCTCCCGGCCTCCCGCCTCCGTGTGTGAATACACCACGGCACTACTAATTAAACCAGCAGCTCCTAATTAGTTCTCAGCTGTCCTAATCCTGCTAGGTCTATGCTGTCAGTTCCCAAGACACAAATTGTCTCAGGCACTTCACAGGCCAGTGATGGAAGGGTCAGCTTACAGCGAAAGCTGGAGGCGGCGGCAGCCCTGGCACCAAGTCGGGGACTGTCTGGGAAGGTTTCTCCTCCTTCTTCCCCAAAGGGCGTTAAGCCTCTAACACTGCGAGACAAACCAAAGTGCTGTAGTCTGCAGAACTCCTCAGAAATGCAGATCTCCCTTCCCATCTCACCCCAAGCAGGTCCTGGGAGCCGACTCGTCTGAAGCTGACACTTACCTAGCAGCACTTGCCGCACCAGTAACGACCTCCAGCCCGTGGGAGACCTCGGACACAGCTCCTCACAACACGGGCAGGTCTCCAATGCAGCAGCCACCACAGAGGTCACAGGAGCCTGCGGGCAGGCTCCAAGCGACAGCACAGTTGCTGCTACAGGCCGACCTCTCTCTGTCCCTCTGCTGTTTTGTCACTTGTGACCAGAATGGGCAACACTCCCCCATGCACAGGCCGGGTCAGGCTCACAGGTCACTTCAGCACCTTGGTTCCAGGCGGGGGGACACGAGGACCTCACTACCCTACAGCCACCAGGAGAGGGATCGCCTCCTTCCTTCCCCCCTGTACCCTCTAACAGACGGAAACGGCCACATCCGTCTCAACGGTTGGAAGGGAGGATCCCTCCGCTCCCGGCCCCGAGGTTTGGTGAGCGGGTTCCCAAGTGCTCCTGTACTCCCAGGCTCAGTAAGACCAGGCCCTAGAGCCAGGTTTGCCTGTTCCTCTTGGCAAGACTCTGCCGTAACGGTTGCTACAGGAATGAGCAAGCCAGTCACCTCGCCCACATACAGCAAAAAGCACTGGAGAAGAGGCCCAAAGTACTCGCCGAACCGTCTGTGAAGAGTTATGGGTGTGGGAGGACAAACCAACCGTCCTCTCCATCTTTCTGGCCGGGGAAAGGACTGCATCAGATGCTCGGAGGGGGAAGGCGCAGAAGAGCCGCTCGGCAGAAGGGCCGACCCTGCCGGTGGGCAGGCGGGAGCGGACGGCTCGCGCGCTGCCGTCACACACGAGCCCGGCCACGTCCCGCGGACAGAGCCCAGTGGCAGCTCCAATGTTTGCAGCGCTCTTGGATCGCCCATTGGAGCCAGACCACGACCGTTCCTGCTCTCTGTGACTCTGCTGCGAGAAGGTCAACATCTTTCCTCAATCCTAAGTAAACAAGTCGGCTTTCTAGGCAGCAGCTCTGTGCTAAAAGGATGCTCCTGTTCCAGCAAGTGCAGCAGTCTCCGAAGAGCGGCTTGGCAGGTTGCGTGAGGCTGCACAGAAGCAGAGCAGCATCGCGGCCAAGTCCTCTCCCAGGCTGGTCCGCTCCCATCTGCACGTATTTTCTTCCATTACAGAGACACAGAGCGACGAGGAAACCTGCATTCCCCCCGACTCCGCTCTAATCGGCAATCTATGTACATCCCAAGGGAAAAGGCGAACTGCTGGGCTCCCGTTTAGAGCAAACTCCTGTTTAAACCAAAGGTTTTCCTGCCGCACGGAGCTGACAGGTTTATTTATAGCCTCACAGAGTGTTATCAGCACTGCTGCTGCCCTCGCGGGATGAGGGTCAGCCCGAACATCTGGAACCAAATCCCCCTGCCTGATCACGTTTCACAAGTCTGTCCTTGCATGTGTCAGGCGGGGAGGAAAACTCCATAGTGAACAGGGCCTCCGGGACCGCGGCGCCGTTCCACAAACTCGGAGCTTTCCGTGCACCCCGCTGCCAGAGGCAACCACTGTTCCTTAGCAACAGGCACCAGCAACAGGCGCAAGCAACAGGCGCGAAGCGGCCGCGGCGACAGGCGCGAGCCCCACGGCGCTGCCCTGCCGGGAAGGGCGCCCGGCACCCGCCTTCCCCACAGCACCCCTGCCACAGGGAGCGAGTTCTGGGCTCTTAAGCCGCAGTCGGATGCAGCTCCTGCTGCTGGGTCACGGGAGCGGCCTGGGAAGGAGGACGGTGAAAGGGGTGCGCGTGGCTCGAGGTCGGCAAGGACCCACGAGACCCTCAACCAGCATCCGTGCAGGCAAGGACAGCCCGAGTGCCGTTGGGCCACCAGGATTCCCCCAGCGCGGCTCGTGAGGAAGGAGAAGGGAGGAAGGCAGCAGCTGGGAGCTGTTGGGAAGTGCAGCCTAAGGCGCCATGGCCGGGCGGGCAGCTCCAGCTGCAGCACACGGGCTGGCAGCCCTCGCGTCCTCGCACACCTGCAGCAGGGCACCAGCCACCCGCTCCCAGGAACACATCCCTTCCTTTCGAGCCAGGACAACACTCGGAGGTGCCCCGGAGCAGCGGGATCAGATGGGGTACTGGAGGCGCTGCAGAAAGTTAAGTACTTGGCTTTCAGAGACAGATCTCACAGCCCACTGTTAAAATGTGCCTGCCAGCCGCCCGCCCCGCGCCACCGCCGCGATCTGCAGCCACCCCCCAAAACCCAGCGCCAAGCGACAGGAGGGGGACGCAGAGAAGCTGCAGACGAGCAGGAGGCCGGAGGCGGCAGCAGAGTCATCTCAGGCCCTGCTCCCGTGTGCACAGCTCAGAAAAGCTTCCTCTCTATGCATCTGGCCAGAAATCCAGCAGTCGGTTGTGATCTGTGCGAGACGAACACCTCTGTTCTCCTTCACAGAATGCTTAAGGTTGGAAGGGGCCTCAGAGGTCATCTAGTCCAACCCCCCTGCACACGCAGGGTCACCCAGAGCACATGGCACAGGGCTGCGTCCAAACGGGTTTTAAAGATCTCCAAAGAAGGAGACTCCACAACCTCTCTGGGCAGCCTGTGCCAGGGCTCCGTCACCCTCCTTCCCTCCACTGCTCTTTCTGGAGCAGTGCTCAAGAGCCCCACCTGACACCCCATCCACGAGAGCAGGCCCTGTTTGCACCTTGGCAAGACGCAGCTCCAGGAGGAGCTCGCTCGGGATTCACAGCAGGAACCAGGCGCCGGGTCAGAGCCACTCAGCTCGTTACCAGCCGCTCGCAGTGACCAAAGCGACCTCGGTCACCTCGGCAGCAGGCAGCCCGGGCAGACGCAGGGACCGTGGGCAGCCTGACCTGCCTTCTGCGAGCAGGGGCAGCCTGTGTTTAAATAGCCTGGGCTCTTCCCAGCCACGCAGGGCCGCACACAGAGACGTGACAGCACCACGGATCCAGGATCCTGCAGGACGCCAGGAGCTGCTAGCACTCAGCACTTGGGACACGCCGCGGCAGGGCAGCCGATGCTAAAACAGGAGAGAGGAACCACTTGTTTTTATAGCTTGCCCAGAAAGAAATAGGTTCCCACCCAGCACTTAGCACTACTTTAAGCCAGAGGAGTTAAGTCCGTGGGAATATCTCAACTTCCCTGACTACGAAAAAAGCAAGACAAGAAAACCCTGCTCAGTGCACCACAGCAAAGCCCCAGGAGATGCTTGGGAGATGCGTTAAAGCGAGGTCCGTGCTGGGACAAGATGCACCTTTAAAGCCATTCCGCCGTCACCGCGTGTTGCTGCAACACAAAGCAAGGCTGCCGATCCCATTGGCCCGGCGGAATGGGGCAGCGATGCAGGCAGCCGCAGAGCCCCGCGCGGGGCGGCCGGAGCGCCCGCACGGCCGGGGGAGCACGGGGCTCTGGCGCCAGCGCCGCCCCGTTCCACCCACCCCGGCAGCAGGGCGAGCGACCCCCGCCACAGGGCTCGCCCTTCACCTGCAGCGGGTCGCGGTGGCTGCGGCGCCGCTCCGGGCGCAAAGCCACCGCGAGCAGATGAACGTCTGACTGATCGGGTTCCTCCGCTTACCACAAAGGGGTTGATTCACCAGGGCCTACTCCCTTTTCAGGCTCTTTCTAAATAAAGGCTTCAAAGAGCTCTGGAAATTCGTGCTTAACTGGCTCCTTCGCGCAGGGCTGGAGCAGGAGGGCTCTGCCAGGCCAGGCTTGGCTGCGGGGTCGATCCAGGATGCTTTTCCTCTGGGACTGGGGTGGGTTTATCCAGGAGCTGAGGCCAGGCAGCTCCCTTTGCTGATGCCCATTGCGGCACATCCTCAGCATCCCCCAGGACAGGGGTGGCACGTGGGCTCTCAGGAAGGGAGGCAACGTCCCACCCCATCTTGCAACGTCCCACCCCATCCCGCAGCTCCAGGGCCTCCTGCGCCTGGACCCCCCGGCCTCCCTCCCTGTGCTCAGGGCCAAGACACCTCCCAGCAAAGAGCCCGTTCGGTATCCGGCCAAGGAAAGGTCTCTAACACGCTGGACCCCCTCCAAAAAGTACACCCTTGGGACTGAAACGATTGAGCACACGCAGCACAGTCCTCACAAGGACACCAAGGAGGTCTCCACCTCCAAAGGGCTGGTGAGAGGCACTAAAGAGTCAAGTCCACAACTAACCAGGTACCCTGGAAGGAACCACTTCAATGCAGGATGTTGGGGCTGATGTACAAGACAAGACAACAGCAGCGCTGCAAGAAGCAGCTGCACAAGACCCTGTGCTGGGACCCAGCCGCGCAGCCAGGCCGGGCTTTGCCGAGACACCTCCGGACACTGGAGCACTTGGGCAGGAGACCCCGCTCGGCCGCCACGCGGCTCGGCCGCCTGGAAATGCCCCCTCCCCCAGGGGCTCCGGAGAAAGCAGCCAGGATCCGGAGGGCTGTTCCTAGGATTTTCTTTGATGCCATTCAGCGCAAGCAGCTGGATGCTCTATTTATAGCAAGATCATCAGTTTTGGAAAGATGACTTATGCGCTGGTTATTACCAGAGCACCAGATGCAGAGCAAATCTCTGTCACGCCAGGAGTGGTACAAGTTCATAGGGCCATCTTCACAGCCACGGGCACCCCAGCAGGCAGAAAACGGAGCATTTGGGGTTGAGAACTGAGCCCCTACACCTCACCCACATTCAGTCCTAGGCTGAAGGGCCCTGTGAAGAAGGTACTAAACGATGGCCACGTGTTGAGGTTTCCTCCGTGAAGGTTTGGTCTTCCAAGCCCTTTCGATTCGTGCCTTATCGCGGGGAGCATCTGGGATGAAGGGGGTGAGGAGGGAGGGACGGAGCGCGAAGCGCCGCGGGGGCATTGGCCGCGGCACGAGGCGATGGAGCCAGGAAGAGGACGGGGCTCCTAACCAGGCACCGGAGACGCACGCAGCAGCGCGGCGGCTCCGAACAGCATTCCTGCTTCCAGCAGCCTCACCAAAACACGCTCTGAAACCAGCCTCACCAAAACACGCTTTGCCACGGGTATCTGACAAGCCCCAATTTTAAAACCAAGACTAAGGCGTTACTAAAAGCTCAAAGGTTAGGGATGTTTTTAGATTAGGCCTCTAAATAGCTTCAAATTATATTAAGTTTCTGCCCTCATCTTGCAGGGAGGTAGACAGGAGCATGTCTTCTCTCCTCAGGATACCTGTCTAGCTTCTCACAGACATCTGACATCTCTGGGTCCCCACACAACTGTGGGCATTTGCTTGAGCAATCCAAACGGACCCCGTGGCACTGAGCACCCTGCTAAAGGCCACATCCGACCCCAGACACATTGGGATCTGCCCTGGCTAGGCTCTCTTGGGAGAAGCCCTTACCCAAAGGGTGCACAGCCGGCCTGGTGTGCTCTGCCTGGCTAGGAAAGCCTCTAGCCCACCGCGCTCCGACAGTCACCCACGTCACTTCTACACACTCAGCTGCCACCAAAGATGGATGGGGAAACACAAGCTTCTTCCTCCCAGCCAGGAGGCCTCCGCACAGCTGCCCGACTGCCCCGCACATCCCTGCGACCCCCCGTGGCAGGGAAGCGGCGGCCACCGCCGCTCGTGGAAGCAGTGCCCAGGGCCTCCGCTCTGCTCCGCTCGCCCGCTTGGTCAGGCAGGGAAGGCCCCAACACGTCTCCTTGCTGAGCACGGCCGCAAGCGCCGTTTTCCACATGAGCACAAGGCGCAAGGAGACGGGAGACACGGGCAAGGCCGCGCCAAGCCCCGGCGGCGCCGGCACCGCACAAATCCCTCTTTTGTGCCGCAGTCCCGGCCGCGCCGCCCATCGCTGCCTCGCCGCAGCCCATGCGAGAAGAACGTTAATCCACCGGGGCGGGAGGCAGCGAGGCGGCCGCAGCGACGGACACGGACACGCGGGCATTCCCGCACCCGGGCAGCGGCTCCAGGAATGGCAGGGTTCACAGCTTGGGGATCCCCCCTGCCCGCCAAT